GCTAGAGCCTCAGATGCCTTGAGAACTTTTCTGATTTAAAGATTCTATGATTAAAAACAAAAATTTTAAAAGCCATTGCATTAATAGGCCTCATTTATAAGCCATTAACTGAAGTATCACCTATCGACATCCTATTTCTAGTTTTTAAGAAAAGGAAAAGGAAAATCTTTTCTTCGTTGTGTAGTGCATTTCTATATTTGGGACATGAACTAACGGAGGGATGTAAATGTAGATTGGACTGGAGATACGTTTTGTAAGATATTATAAAATCACACCATTATTATAAATACCACTCTACTTACTTTCATATTGCTCATCTCATCAATTCTTCTCTACTTTCCTGTATTTGAGGAAAAATAAGTAACTTTCTGCATAATTCTCTATGCCTTTATTTTTTACTTTTTCTTACTTCTAAACAGCAACCACAGCTATCAGCAGTAAGCTAAGAGATGAGTGTTCTGTGTTTAAAAGAGCAAAGAGCTAAGTTAATGGTTGTTTTACATTAATGCATTAATACATTCTTTCAACAAACTTTTTCTTCTGCTGGGTCAGGAATGACAAATAGATTTCATATTTAATGTCATCTCCTAGTGACTGATAGTAGCTGATTGGAACCCTATACTGAGAATGAAAACGCCTTTCTGGCTCAGCCAGATTGATTTTCAATTGAATTCTGCCCTAGACAAAGAAGGAGGAAGTAGCACAAAGGTGTATTGCCATCTCTTCACAAGTCACCATACTTGGTTTAAGGGATATTTGGTGTATAAGACGAAATCCTGTTCCTAAAACCAATGGGGAATAATTCTTGGAGTAATGAGAACTATAAAAGCAATAATAGTGTATCAATGAGGGCTAGGTCAGACAAACAGAAATCAGAGCCAGGCATTTCAAGTAGAAAGGGGCTTAATGCAAGAGATTGGGTAGTTATAAAGCTATTGGAAAGGTTGGAGGAAAGCAAACCAGAGAAAGCTACCACCTAATCTCAGCTTTGCTTCCAGCTTCCAGAGAGTGAGGAAATTGCAAGATCATTTGAGAAATGCTGGCGCTGATTATAGCTGCCTACCGCACTGAAGTATGTGAAACTGAGCTTCAGGGAAGTCAAGCAATTTATTCAGCCACTCATTTGAAAATGGAGCCAGGAATAGAACTCAGGTCTTCCTCTCAGTTCACCAATCTTTCTACAATACAGCTTTGTTTCTTCTCATTCAACTTGCACTGTCATTGTTCTGATGTACATACCCATGTCTTGATCATTGTTTTGCTATGTCATTTCCTCTCAAGTCCCAGGCTTACTTTTTAACACACACACACACACACACACACACACACACACACACACACACACTTTCCTGTACTATTAAAACTTATATAGGCTCTTGGAAGTCTTACTTCTGGAGGTTCCACCCTACACCAAAGCAAATGTATTAATGTGCATCTACTTTTTGGATAGAAAAAGTGTGATTTTGCTTTTGAAATAATTTGGCTACAGATCACCAATTTAATTTGAGATTGGCTATGATTTCTTGGCAATTACTTTGCATAGTTGGAAATTCTTGCAAAGTGAGAAAAATTTAACCTTCAAATTGTTTTAAGTGTAATGAAATATTTAGGAGTAGTAAACATGACAATTAATGAAGTTGGCCCAATGTTACATTTTGTAGATGTTTAAACATTTGTTAAATTCAATTTTGCAGTTTTCCTCTTGGAACCAATGCTTTTTTTTTTAGGTCCATAATGCTAAACTCCAGTTTTTCTAGTGCTAGTTGGCAAAGTGGCCCAGGGCTGTCTCTCATGGATATCACCAAAGATAGCTTTCTGTGAGCCTGTATGCACGCTGCTCCCACTGAATGGAATTTCATGGAATTTCAGTCTCATGAGTGGTGCAAGGTCAGAGATAACGAGGTCCACACACATTTGTATCTGTGTCTTTCCACAGTGGCAGACTTCCACTGATGCTATTTAATCACAAAAGCCATGGACTACATGGTTCCCAAGGAGGCAGTTCTCCTTAGTACTTTCCGTTCACTCAGTGGTCAGAGCCTTGGACACACAGGCTCAAGTCACTCCGCAATGCAGTCAATATTGCAAACCCTATATAATAGTATACTTAATCAATATATAAATGCTGTAGATTAAACATCCCACAACAAAAAAAGTAACATTTAACATCAAGAGAAAGGGGATAGGAAAAAGGGGTTAACAAACTAGTCCAGGAGGAGTGACAAAAACAAAAAGCATCTCCTGGTTTGAGCCAAGAGGTCCTTCAGTCTTGCAAGGAAGAGTCTTTGATGTGGACAGAGTCTTCAGCAGGAGAAGCTGGGTTCACCACGAGTGACAGGAAGATGGTGTCAGTTAAGACAGCCATATTGAACTCCTGAAGTCCTGCTCTGTTTATGGCCACAGAGTCCTCTGGTGAGAACTGATAGTGGAAGGGTGTGCTTGCTTATATCCTTATCTGGTTGAATGCAGTCTTTATAAATCAGGCAAAACATCTTATCCCTGTTGGTAAAGTGCCCTATGAAATGTAAGATGGGAGTCCTTTTCTAAGATGGAGTTACTTATGTCAAGGGTGCACTCTATACTTGTTATTCCCAAACCCTCCCAATCCTGGTCACACTCTTCAGGGTTTACCTTCTCATCAGCTCTTTCTTAAATCCACCCACACCACCACCTTCCTGTAGGGCTGATGCCTTCTTCTATCACGAAAAATGTGAAGTTTGATTGAGAGTTATTTATTTACATGTCAGCATCCCTTTTCAAGACAGGAATATTTTGAATGTTGTAAGAGTTTATTATCTCAGCACAGGTCCTCATGCATGTAACACACTACTAAAACATTGTATGTTAATGTAAATTCATTAAAGACACATTCAAGGACCTTCCATGTGCAAGATACTAAAGGGAGTTTATCAAAGAAGGGTTGACTACCATTCTTATCTTCAAGACACCTCCAATTTTTCTAAAGAGTTTTAATGTATAAGAATAATTTCATTTCTTAGATTTTAATTTCTTGATGAATTTAGTCACTAGATTCACAATTCTGTGGTCAGTGTTGTAAGCATAAACATTTGTAGTTTATTTTCATATGGCTTCTTTTTGAAATTCAACATACAAGAAATGTGTGGACAAAAGAATGTGGCGAAGGGGTTAAATTGTGTTATTCTGGCATGTTGACTATTTAAGTTAAAGGCACTTGAAAAACGCAGGTACAAAAAGGTCACTTTGACCTTCATATGTAAGATGAAATTCTTGCGTGAAAAATGCCCTCCCCATACTAGAAAGATATAACGTTTTCCCCAGGATGAGAAATCAAAACCAAGAGAATACTGTACAGACCTTGTTAGAATAACACTTATCTTTTATGCTTTCTTGCATAGTTTAGCTGCTTCTTTGCCCCAATCACTGTATAAGTAACTGACTCTAACTACTTCTTCAGGTCTTCATTTCCTTCTGAGGACTCCCGTGCATGTATAATTTGTATTATGCTTTTCTTCTATTAATCTATGTTATGTCAATTTACCTCTTAAACCCAGCTGGGAACCTAAGAGAATGGAGGTGGAATTTTTCTGCCTCTACAGTGGTATAACAATAATGCGTTACTTTACAGTAGGTTTTAGGATACCAAAACATGTTTAGGTACATAATTTTATTTGATCCATACAACTATGTGGCAAAAGTAGAGCTGGTTATATCATTCCCACTTTACAGATAAATAAATAGAGGTTCAGAAGGCTGACAAAAAGCAGAGTCAGAACTTAGGTCGACATCCAAGCCTAGCTTCACACTGTCACTACACACTTTGCCCCAGGTTCTAGAATGTTAAATTTAAGGCAGAATGGTTATAAATTAGCAAGTTGGATAATTCAGCAGTGAATGTAAATGAGAGTTATAAGATAAATGACATTTAGTGACATTAATTAACTGATTAAATTAAACCTGATATTTTAATCAGAATTTGTTTGTGCAGTGCTAGATAAAATGAAATGTAGTTTAACCTAGTTACTTTAAAAAATTCCAGTTACCATAACAACTTCTTGTGATTTCAATTAAAGGTGGTCTTTTCTTTATATTATTTTTAGAACTTTAGTTACCATAACAACCAGATGCCGTGTATTTGATCAGTTAAATCATTCCCAAAGAGTTAAAATATGATGTTCTCTTGGAAACAATCAAAATATGATAAGTGGTGTGTCAGGAATTAATGCCCAAATGGCAACGCAGACGCAATTTTTCAAGGAGCTCACATGTGAAATAAAAGACCAATGAATCTTCCTTTGTATGTGGGCTTATGATGTTTCTCAGTTACAGAAATCAAAAAGAGATTATTTATCAATTGGAGGAAAGTGGAGATGTCAGGTTCTGGGGTAATATGAATTGTCAGAGCTACAAAGAGAAATGATGTAAATGATAAATTCATTTTCACTGGGTTTGGGGGCTTTGCTGGAAATAGTATTACCAGAGCTTTGCCCAAGCTGGGAGTGGGGAGAGGAGTTTGGCTTTATACAATAGAAAACAGCTCTGCCTTTCCGTGTTCATTTCCTCCCCCATGCCTCACCCTGTAAAGGAGAATTTCTAAAGGAGTCTCTTCCTATCTTAAGAAACTGGTTTCCTAATATCAATGAGAGGAGCCACCACTCCTATACTAATAGGCTCTGCCGTTATTGAAATAGAAATTGGGAGCAAGATGACCACAGGGGAGGTCTAAAGAAAAAAAAATGAAAGCAAGAGAGTTCAGAAATAGGAGAATGGCAGACCAAGAAGATGAAGGAAAGAACACAGGCAAGGGGTAAAGTACAGGATAAGACAGCCCAAGTGAGGAAGGCAGAACAGAGCAAGGGGCAAAACAGAAACCAGCCTAGCAATGAGGAGGCAGAATCAGTTAAGCATGCTGACGGCTATCTACCACCAATCATGTGAAAATACTTCTGACATATTGGGCCCAAATGCATGGCAAACGAACATCAGGAAAATTCCCTTGCTCTCCGAATCAAAGTCCTCACCTGTTTGAGGTAAATTGGCCCTTCCAGGCAGATGTCTTGCTTTATTTGATGGGCAGCCATCCACGTGGAGGTGGTTAAGGACAAAAGATGCATCTGGTTGCCCTGAAGCAAGGGCCAGGTTGCCCATTAAGTGACAAATAAAGATGGCCTCTCCCTGTTATCACCCTCTGCCCATGAAACGAGGAGAGAGCTGCTTTTCTTGCCCACAGCCTGTGCAGAAGCAATAGACGGATGGTGGGAGTGTCAACTGTGGATTCCGGGCTTAATTGTAGTCCTCTTGCTTAATGAGGTTTTGTGAGGAGGAGGAGGTGGGGGATTGGTGTGTGCTCCTGTGGCTGGGGGTTATTTAATTAAAAAACAATAAAGCTGCCAGCTGCCGCTGGTTAACAATCTGGAACCCTCCCTTTCTTCCTCCCAGACTTGAACGCAACACAGATACAGCCTCTCTAACCGGCCTTGTGAGCTGAGGCGCTGTTAGCACCCCCAGATCAAACCACCCCGTTTTCTTCCTAAGCTCTTTTTGGTTGCCAAAAACATTGCTAGCAGATCTATGGAGAGTTAAAGATCCCCTTCATAGCCAAATTACGAAAAAGAAAACAAAACTCCTATCTATCCTTTTTCCTTGGTGCTTGTTTTGAGACAAAAAATATACCCTGGAGGCTGGGCGCAGTGGCTCACACCTGTAATCCCAGCACTTTGGGAGGCTGAGGCAGGTGGATCACGAGGTCAGAAGATCGAGACCATCCTGGCTAACAAGGTGAAACCCCGTCTCTACTAAAAATACAAAAAAAAAAAAAAAAAAAAAAATTTAGCCGGGCGTGGTGGCGGGTGCCTGTAGTCCCAGCTACTTGGGAGGCTGAGGCAGGAGAATGGCGTGAGCCCGGGAGGCGGAGCTTGCAGTGAGCTGAGATTGCGCCACTGCACTCCAGCCTGGGCGACAAAGTGAGACTCCGTCTCAAAAATATATATATATATGTGTGTGTATATATGTGTGTGTGTGTGTGTGTGTGTGTATAAAATATATTAATATATATTATATATACCCTGGAATGGACGCAGGGGAGGTGATGCAGAAAAGGGGTATCTTCCGGCTCCTGTCTCCTGTGTCTTATCCTGATATGAACACATGGACGGGGAGGCTCTCCCAGGAAGAATGCATAGTGTCCTACCGACAGGGTTTCTGTCCTCTGTCCTCTGTGTCCAGGACTTCAGCACTTCCAACAATCACCTGGGGAATTTGCTTTTAAAAAATACTGCTTCTTCCAGCACTTTGGGAGGCCGAGCAGATGGATCACAAGATCAGGAGTTCAAGACCAACCTGGTCAAGATGGTGAAACCCCGTCTCTACTAAAAATACAAAAATTAGCGGGCATGGTGGCAGGTGCCTGTAATCCCAGCTACTCGGGAGGCTGAGGCAGGGAATTGCTTGAACCCGGGAGGCGGAGGTTGCAGTGAGCCGAGATCGTGCCATTGCGCTTCAACAAGAGCGGGACTCCGTCTCAAAAAAATAAAAAATATAAAAACCTCAGGCTCTTCCCTGGAGATTCTGAATAAATTAGTGTCTGAATCTGTGTTTTTACCAAGGGCCTTCATTGAGGTTTCTGATCAGAAACGTTTGAAAAATTATCTTCTCATTACCTGTTTACCCGAGGGACCTGAGTGGAGACTGGAGAGAAGGGAGTGAAACGGAAAGTTCCTTCAATGGGGAGGGTTTAGTCTTGCATATATTTCGCAGTTACCAACAAAGGCCCAAAGCCTGTCTGTGATTTTTCTGTTTAAAGAGATACCCCATCTCCTAACACCTCCAGCTCAGCTAGGGAAAAGCAATGTAACACAACTGCAGGGTGGGTTTCTAGGGGGTGACAACTAGGCACTGATTAGCTGTGGTATCTTAACAGCATTCTTGTTTGAAGCATCCCTGTGGCAAATTATTAACACACTATAGTGAGGCTTAAACCAGGAGACACCCCACCTCCTTACTAATTAATCAAACTTCAAAAGTTCACTCCCTAGTAGGTGACAACCATGTCTTTTTGCCTGATGCTGTGTAGGTTTTAGCACTGAAAATCCTATTCTGGGAAACCTCTCAGTCCCAGGCAGACCAGGGCATGGATCACCTCTAGTAACCAGCTCACACTATTGGTGTCTCTCTTTTCTTTCCCCCCTAGCCTAGGTGCATCATGAATTTCACAGGGGAATTGTGAATCTGGGGATACTCAGGCCTCACATGTGCATTCTCTTCACCCCACTTAGCACCCTCCTCAATTTTCTCCTCTTCAGCACCTATCAATTGGCTAAAGAGCCAGCTTATTCTCTTCCAATTGGCTATAGAGCCAGCTTATTCTCTTCCCAGCTTCCAATTATCTTTTCTCCTGCCTAGTAAAAAAAAGTCCTATATTCTCCAAATCGAGGTCTCTGATGACTTTTGACGTCCTTTTAAGTCCACAAAATAGGCTGGCCTAGGATTAAATAATCTTTGTAATCACATTTTATTTGCATTTCAAATGTACAATTTGCATGATATTTGCTTATGCCTCAGTCAGATTGGTTCAGATCTCATCCATATTTATTTAGGGGGAGGGAAACTGTAAGAGCAAAATATTGTGGACTCCTGGTCAGAAAAGCTGACTCCAAATCCTGGCCTTGACATTTATTTGATCAGCAACCTTAGATCAATCAGTTTTGCTTTATGAAAAATTGAGATAGTTGAATTATTTTGCTTCCTAAAAATTATAGGCTGAAGTCCTAACCCCCAGGACCTCAGATTGTGACCTTATTTGGAAATAAGGTCATTGTAGATACAATTACTTAAGTTAGGATGAAGTCATACTCATCTAACTCACACTCATCATTTTGGAGTAGGGTAGGTCCCTAACCCAAAATGACTGGTGTCCTTATAGAAAAGCAAAATTTGGAGACGGACACGCATGCAGGGAGAGCAGCATGTGAAGTGTGGGGTTACACTGCCACAGGTCAAGCAATTCTCAGGAGGCAGGACCAGAAGGTAGGAGGAGAGAAATCTAGAAGGAACAGACCTTTTCCTTGCACCTGCAGAGGGAGCACGACATGCCAGCGCCTTGATCTTGGACCTGTACACCTTGGAGTCTCCAGACTGTGAGGTTTCTGTTTAGAAATAAATTTCTGCTATTTAAGCTACTCAGTTTTTGGTTCTTTTTAATGGCAGCCCTACTAAACTAATGAAAATGGTAACACCTACTTCATAGGATTTTTCTGAGAATTAAATATATTTGTGTGAAAGTACTTGGTACATAGGAGTCATTAATGAATAGGAGAAAAAAATAATAGAGAGAGCAGTGAGTTAACAGAAAATGACACCCTTGCAGTTACAGTATCAAGGTTCAAACTCCATTTCCTTCTCTGTTATACCTTATATGGCAACTGCAAACCACTTCAGCCTTTCATCTCTTTGATCCTTATTTCCTCATCTGTAAAATGGATATAATAGTACAAACTTCCTAGGGTAGTTGGGATGATTATGTAAGAGAACATGTGAAACTACATCAACCAGCTTTGTAACGAGAGGCCACGTGGCTTTTGTCCTTGCAATGTAGAAGGCACAAAAATGTAAGCCTCTCTTCTTTCAGCAACTGCCCCTACCTTTGCCCCCTTAGCCCTCGACTGAGGCCAAGAGCTAAGAGCTGACAGATGGATGGAGCTTGAGATCCTGCCAACCCTTTGTGTGTTGGGGATGATGGCACCACAAGGACTTCCCCTTTCCTTTCTTCCTCCCTGCCCACCCCCAATTCAAGAGCAAATTTCATGCTTCTTTCCTGAGGATCCAAAGAGCTATGACTCTGATAGTTAATGGTTTAAATCCCCTTTCCTTTCTTTTTCAGAAGAAACAATTTGATAGCTATAATTATTGCTGCAGACCCTTTTTTATTTTCACAGAAATTAAATATGTCTGTGGTGGTACTTCAATAGCTCAATGCGTTTGCTACGCTATCAAAACCATGTTTTCTCCTACTCTGTTGAGGAAATGAACAATTGAGTGCCAGATTGCAGAACTGAGGTTTTGTTTAATATTTACTGCTGGCAGCCACATTCGCTTCTGCAAAGGTATACTTATACCCAACAAAACCCATGACGGCAATTCACACACAACTTTCCTACAGGAGTAAGCATATGCATACTGAAATGTTTGTCCCAATCTTAAACTAGGATGCCTTTTTACCAAGTGACTCCATTTATGGAAATTTATCTTAGAGAAATAAATATTCAAGTGCACAGCAATGCACAGCTTTGTGTAACCAGCATATTGAATGGAGATTACTTACAATTTTTAAAGCAAAATCCTAAGTTCTAATAATAGGGAATGGATTTCATGAAGTATGGTTCCTTCTATTAGTTACATAGGATTGGCAATCATTGAGCTGAGACTTTCCTGCTACATTATGAAGGTATCAGTTAGTTTCAGCATCACATCCATAAGCAATTTGCCATCTATCAGTGTCTCTTCCCATTTTTTCTATTTCCTACTGCTTCCTGGGCTGTCACAGAATCCATGCCATGGAATTCTCTGGAAGTGCCAACAATCTAATAGAAAGTGGAAGCTCTGAAGGGACACACTACCCTTCTTGGCTTAGATTTTTCTCCAGCAACTTCCATCTCATCAGTCAAGTGACATCTGCCTCAAATGTTGCCATTAAATCACCAGGAAGAATTTTGCTGAGAATTTAATTGGAAATATCAATACTGGCATTCCAATTTCTTTTTCAACATGATAAAAGTCCTCCCAGAAAAGCACCCACGTTGTACCTGTAAACCATGTCTCAAGAGGCCCAAGATTCCATCTGCTGGTGCAATGTATAATTTCTAGCTACAAATAGATCTTGTGTATACATCAGCATGGTTGGATGTAAAGGGCTGGTTGAGCCTCTCTGCCTTGGCAAAAGCAGGCAAGAAACAACAGGTATCAACCTGGATACAAGTTACGATGTGGGTTGGGAGAGCGGGTCAACAAACACAAGGGATTATCGACATTCTTTACGGACATGCAAACAAATTTGGGGATAAAAGGTATGTTATAATATACCTTTTATATATATTATATATAATATACCTTTTATATATATATATAAAACACACACTCTCTCAATAGATAGATAGATAGATAGATAGATAGATAGATAGATAGATAGATAGACAGATGATAGATTTTAAGCAAGTGTCTTCTATTAGCTACATGTACAGATGCCGTATGTCCCGGGCATGTGC